TCGGTTTCAAAGACATAGTTGTTTGGCGGGCACTCTTTGGGAAAAACCTTCTCGAAATCTCAGCTTTTGAATGGTATTGTTAAAAAAAATTGTACGGTGGTATTTTAGGGAAAAAATGACGTTTAAATGCAGAAAAGCGTTCAAAATGCCCGCCGCCTGAATCAAAACTTATCGGTTCTTCTGCGCCGAAAACATCGATTTTTTGCTGTGTGAAATCGATCGTGTTCCAATCTCCATATCATTTATCGGTATACCGCGGTTGATTTTGATTAAATAGTCTCTAACAACGAAAATTCTATGGATAGATGTTCAAAAACAATTATTATTCACCTCGCACTCAGGCTCTACACACGGCTGGGAGAGACTTGAGGTGTCAAGAAATCAGTTTTTTTCCTAATTGGGGAGGCTCGGGAGTGTCACGAAAAAGTACAACAAACTCGATGTCAAGTTACTTTTAAAGTAACAAGTTGATTTTTGTTGAAAAATATCGATTTTTAACTAAAACCCACGCTTTTCTGGATTTAAACGTCATTTTCTCCCGACAATACCACCGTCCAATTTTTTTTTACGATACCGTTCAAAAGCTGAGTAGTATGTATTTCTTAAATTTTCTTAAATTTTCATAATGTAAAGTTTGACCTAATTTTTCACTTCTTAAATCTTCGTAATAAATTTTGCTTTGACATCAGAGAGATGGGAAATTTAACGTTCTTTCAAATGGTATATTTAGTTTTAAGTTTGCACTGTAATTTGTGGAGTTATGGCCGTTTAAAGATTGTCAAGTCGAAAACGCAGAAAAAATATTAAAAGTGAAAATACTGGAGAATAAGCCGACACAAAGAAAATGTCTAAGAGTAATTTTTTGTTGGAAAATTGTTGTAGAATTTACACACTGCGTATGTCCGAACTTATACATAGACACTTGTACTTATACATAGAACTTGTACATAGACACCCTGTATATTAAACAGAAGCCAAATCTCTGAAGTACAGTATTCAACTTTTGAGTGATTATTTTGTATTAAACGTAGTAAAGGACACTATACAGCGATCTTTTAATGTTTATTCATAGCGTTTAGATTTTATAATTATAACAGAATCCTTATACTTTTAAGAGAACTTCGTCTGCTGCTAAGTTGGAGAAATGGCCACTTAACAAGTAAAAATGGAAACAGAAACCTGTCGCTTGAAAAAAAGCAGATGTTGTCCGAGTCAAGCAGAGGTCATAGATAGTGGAAATATATCGTCCGACAAGGGAAGTTAGCAAATCCTGAAATTCAGAACATTTTGAAAAATTGTATGCAAGCACGGAGTGTATCCGTAATACAAAACCATTTTTCGTTGGTTAGGAATATTATGATTCAAGAGGGTACGGTAAAAAAAATGTGGAAAAAATGCACATTTTTCTTTCTGATCGAATATATTCAGAACAGTGGAAGATATTAAGGGAATGACAACACAAAAATTACATGCCAAAACTGCGTATGAATCACCAATAAAACAATTAAAAACCACAGTTTGAAAAACGTTTTCGAATAATTATTGATCCGCAGTTTGTCGGTGTAGAAGTAAGGTAAACTTTTTCTGATAATTTTCTTAAGATTAGATATAAAATAACAAAAAAATATTAATATAATAATAATCACGTATGAATCATAGTGGTAGGAAACAAGTTTTTTGATAAAACTACAAATGCTAAAAATTAAATTTACAGCTCATTCACGGTTAGCAAGTGTCTAATTTTATTTATTTATTTTGGCAAGGTTACATACTGAAATGATATAATTAATTAGTTATAACGAACAATGTTATAAATAACGCTGAAAGTGTGTGTTCATGATGCTTAATCTTATGTACATAATGCGATAATTAACGAAAGTTGTAATGAACCGTATTTTAGTAAACGAGTTAAAGTAAGAAAACAATTCTAACAGAACGATAAGAAAGCGAGCAGAAACGGCCAAGTGCAATTAGTCCGCTGATTGGACGGCGAAACTCCGCCGAACCGAATATAGGCAGGCGAGAAAGCTATGTGAACTTGGCACCCGACTTTTCAAAAATTAATTTTTTTTTATAGAAAACAATAGTATTTCGTTAGTACCTGATTGTACCTCCAATAGTTTCGTTTGTACCTCCACCAATTAATAATTGAAAAAAATTCAAAAAATGGTCAGCACCCGACATCGAGATTTTTGAAATCGGTTTTTCCCGATTCTTTAGAATCGTTTGTACCCGTTTGTATCGCTTTTCGTGTCGTTTGTACCTCAATAGTTTAAATTTTACAAGCAATTGTTGATACTGTTGAATTATAAAATTTAAACTATTGAGGTACAAACGAAACGAAAAGCGGTACAAACTGGTACACACGATTTTAAAGAATCGGCAAAAAACAGATTTTAAATATCTTGAAAATTAACGAACTTCACTCTTACGCGGATCAACAACTGCTATAAAATTTAAACTATTGAGGTACAAACGAAAAGAAAAACGTTTTCGGCGGGTACAAACGATTCTAAAGAATCGGGAAAAACCGATTTCAAAAATCTCAATGTTGGGTGCTGACCATTTTTTTAATTTTTTTTTATTATTAATTGGTCGAGGTACAAACGAAACTATTGGAAGTACAATCAGGTACAAACGAAATACTATCGTTATCTATTAAAAAAAATTAATTTAATTTTTTTCACCCAGTACGTATTCCTAACGTCCACCAAAGCCATCTTCTGCTCTTTCTTTTGTCAGTCTCACGTAATTTATTTTTCACAGAATATATTTTTTATGTACCGAACATTTGGTTCTTCGTTTCGCCTTAGAAAACCTGTATCTGTGTCCGAAACTGGACAACTCTTGGTTTCTAGACATTTTAGTATCTACTGAATAAATAAATAACGTACTATGCACAAGCATTATGTTTTAACCTAAATATTTCAGGAAATATCCAGAAAAAGTTCTAAAAATATCAAACTTATTCAATATTAATTTGTTATTAGAATGAAAATTACTTTAGCTGTGATGACAGGTTTGCTCTCGTGAAGGATAATTTATGAACCCTTAAGGGAGGTGAACTCCTGTGCCTTGTATGCGCTCGTACGCACTCACACAGCTCCACATCACTGTATACGTACACGGAACTGCAAGGGCTTGCGTATTGTCCTATTTTTGTCTCGGCAATGCAAATTTCAGACCTCTCAATAGTCGTTTCCGCTAGATAAATGTTCAAACTTGTACGCAAGCTCCTATAGGTAGTCTGCTTTTGCTTTTTTGTGTCATAATTAATAATATTCAGCAGTATTTCGCGATTAAAAGAAGCAATATGGTGACGCGACAGTGCTGCCGCGTTTGTCTGAACTAACGCTGCTGAAACATACGCTGCATACAATTATAGCCAGAGTAACAATAGGATCTCTCATAATATGAAACCAATTTATTCTAATGGCAAGTTTAAAGGTGTTATAGAGGTAGCTTAAATATTTATAAACGTGTCCCCGCAGACTGAAGTTTACTATGGTACGTGTGTAGCTGTTCTAATTTAAAAAAGTGAGAATATAAAAGAAAATTAATCGAAATTTCCACTTTGTATTTCGATTATCCAGATATCCGAATTTTTTAAAGGATCCACCAGTTTGAATGGTACGAAGCTTTAAAGAACTATCTGTATTTATTCTCCGAAATTCCAATTTCTTTTGTTGCGAATATCAAAGAGGCGGTAATTTTCCGTTTCATGAACATATAAAGAAGAGTCACAATAAATACATATGACAGAATAATTTCGAACCTGCAGGGCTTATCTAGGTTATGTTAATAATAGCATACAGCTTCACCTCGGCTTTTCACCGTAACTGTATATTTATGTATGCATCTAAATATCACATTTTACGTTATCCATTAATACATATTGCACACAACTGTACTGCAGTAAAGGCGGATTATTGTTATTATTTTGATATGCCAAACAATACTATAATATCGTAAAGAGCAACATAATATTTTCAACATAATTTTTATTTATTAAGCATTTTTTATTTTAATCTCATTTTGTATTTCCCTAAGATTTATTTTATACAATTTATGTTCAAGACTTTTATGTAACTGTCTCTCGAAAAAATAACGGCTGAGGTGCGGCAGCCGTTTGATAGATCACTAATAAAGAACATTTCTTTCACTGCTTCGCGAAACAGTTTATATTTGTTGAACAGAGTGATTTCACTTTGTACAACGCGTCGTAGGTTTTATAGGAAAATTCAGGACATATAGAATAAAATTGGTTTATTTGTTCGACTTTATACAGTGACAGTTGCGATTGTTGTGCAATTGGTGCGCAGCTCGCCGGTTGGCCCTTGTTCGACGGGCATGCCCACACACTCACACGTAACACTCATGCTCCCCTAAATTCAAACCATGATTATTATTATGTGAAGCTTGTAAACTACACTTCAACAATATTTCTTCCATTCTGGATTTTTCAATAACTACTATATAGTTTTTTTCAAAAACATATTACAGCTACAAAATGGAAAAAATAATTTATAAAACTATATTCTGGGTTATCCTAGAAGAGAACGTTTTACTATAATATCCATCGGTAATTTATTATTAATTCTTATTATTAAGTTCTTATTTTATTATAAAAATTTGTAGAACATACGCATTATTAAATTTCACACTTCTTCATCCAAGTATTTGATATTATTCTTTCATGACGCAATGGTATAATTTGTGCGATATATAATAAAAACATTATAGATGTTTTCCAATGTTTAGAAAGGTAAAAAGTATAATCTTTTCCTGTAATACCTGTACTCTGTTGATACGTATAATCCGGGATTGGTAACTCCAATCGCAGCTTCCTGTTTGATTAAACATAGTATCGTAATTAACCTGAGCAAGTGCTTTACAACATAATTATATAACCACGTAAACATTATTTGATCATATGCATATATGAAAAAAGATGTAAAAGGATTAACGGCGAGTTTGAATTGCTATGAGAATTGGTATTAAATAAATATAATTTCAAAGGTAACGATGAATAAGTCTTGCGCAAGGATTTCATTTACATATTCTTTCTTTTGTTTGATAGTTCCGCCAAACATTCTGGATTATCAAACGAGCACAGATATGGTGGTGCGAGAAGGTAGCAACGTAACTTTACGATGTACTGCGACAGGATCACCGGAACCTAACATTACCTGGCGACGCGAGGATAGCCAGTTAATACTCTTGGGGAATGGAACAAAAGGTGAGTCTTGATGCACGTCAGAATTTATATACCTATATTCTATATTAATTTCATTTTTTTATACCATTTCTTTGTAATTTGTTCATTCGTGTCAGTAACGTTTTGACGCTTCATCAAATATTTGCTAATGGATATATTTACAAATGAAAAGTGGTTGGGATACGCTGACGTAATGCAAAAAGAACCTTCGGTCAGATTTCTAACGAACACATCCCGAGATACTTTTTGTTTCTTACAGTATTTCTTAAAGTATTCTTCAGATCGAAGGTGAAATACCTTGTATAAAACCAAATGAGAGTTATGGGTGCACATTGATCAAACTTGTGACGATACGATTGTTATATAACAACCTCAATTTCAATAAATGGATTTAAGGTTTTCAAATATCCGCATTTACCTGCGGAAGCGTACTCTGCAGATTCGCGGTGCGGCAACCTAGTCTGGTAGTCTCCGTGGAGGATAAACATCCCGCGTTCGAGCAAGGCCAATAGATTAAAAGATGGTGATACGTTTACATACACGAAAAGATTTCCTATATTTGCATTGAAATTGACAAACACCAAAAGGATGCATCTACAATGATACATTGAATGAGTTTAGGTTTCTATTTAATTAAACGCATGTACCCTTGCGGTAATACACATCAATTCCTCGAATAATATCACTTGTTCATCGATTAAGATAATTTTATTTACTTACCTCCAGAATTAATCCCAATATATCAAACCAAGGCAGGTATCCAAATTTGTTCACATATGAATAGTCGTTCCGCAGCGATCGAACTGATTTTTATTGCGACGTAAAAACAAAGGCGCATCGGCATCTTCGATCTGTCGCCAAGATGGCCAAAAGCGCGCCGATTATGATTTTCTAATAAAATTATTCGTATATTTACTGGGAAAAGAACGATAGGATTGTGTATTGAATTCGTATAGGATGTTTCATTTTAATTGTTTCACGCGATTAATTTTCGAATTGTATATCTTCTAATAAAACGTTTGAAATCGAACTTATTGTTAGTGAATCTAGAAAGAAATTTCATCTAGATAAGAATTTTATCTATTCCTACTTTTCACAGATGCAGTTTTAGATAAATCTTTACATTTTAATGTTAATTAATGTTCGAAATAAAATGTTCACTTCAATAGCGAAACATTCTAAACACTAATTGGTGGGCTTGTTACTTGTGGAGTAATGAAAAGGTAACTCTCTCTCTCTCTCGCCTCGTTAGACTTTACGCGCTTTTCGTTCTATCGTGTTTGGCATCGTCCAGTTTGTTAGCTGGAAGCAAATATTTCACCAGATTTAATCGTGGTTAACGTACGGATGTAGACTACCTAGACTTCCAGATAAGTAAACTAAATTTGGCGCTACGTATGGAAGGAAACACCAATACTGCGTTACTCCAGTTGACTGTTACGTGTAAATTTCTATTTGGACTTCAATCACGGAAACAAAAAATTTCGCACAGAAATGGTAGTACAAGAGACAATAATATCTTTACATTTTCCTATTGGTTGCAAGTCATTATCTAAAATAACACCAATACTTTATCGAACATGTTTATGCTGTTTCAATTTTATGAACAAAGGTCTAACAACAACCTTGTTGCATTGCGAGTGAAGAAATAACAATAGCAAAGTGACAAGAAACATTGAACGATTTTTAAATCACTGTTGCAGAAATCTACGTTAAAAATAAATACTAGTAGCTAATAATAACAGGTGTTACTATGCGGAACAACAAAATCGATCCGAAGTCCTCTTCCACCATCTTTTGAATTTTTTAAAGCGTGTCTAGACCAATATAAGAGATCACGTAAATATTGATTCTTGGTAACATATGTATGTACGTGAAAATTGGAAAGGTCAATGAAAGTACGACAACATAGATAGGCACTATTTCTTACAATAGATATTGGAGTCTTCTAAAGCGTCTGACAAAGACAGGACAAACCTACTTTCTCTGCTAGGTGTCGAATTCGCGGCTTCAAAATAGCAACGCTCGGATGATACCTCTACGATATGTACAGTTTAAAATTTATTTGATAGGCAAGGTATGATTTATTAAATACGTGTCAAAGCATGTTGAGAATTAATTATTCCACTGCGACTGATCTGACCTGCCGTGTTTAGATTGCATGTTTCGGAGCTCACTCTCAACATGCAATGATACATCTTTAGTTAATAATAATTCATTCATTTAACAGACAATGTATTACAAATTTTAAATATTCCAGTACTGTCGACAGAACATTAGTATTTCGACTCGACTTATACCACTTGTCGCAAATAAACAGATTGACTTCTTCGGGTATATTATCGTAGTACGTACGCATATCTACATTTACGATCAAAATTATATTCAACATTATATCGTGACATGAATCGTCAAATAATTTTCATTCGTATACTACGATGATACCTTTAACGGATTCGTATTTATCTACATCTGCTTAAATACACGTTTATTTTGACCAAAATTAAATTTTATGTTGTAACTACTTCGTATATACATATATTACCTATATACAGGTGTCCCGTTTAAGTTTAGATTGTAAAAAATTTCGAAGACGTGATTTAAAACAAAACAAACCGACACACGTCCTTTAGTGTTTCTAGTGGGGAGTCAGATAGCACTACTAGTTTTTTAATGCATGTCCGTTTTCAAGGTTATTTTAAGGTCATTTTGTCTTTTTCATATTATATAATACCAACTAAATTATAATCTTCGATATTTTTCTCTTAAATTGAAATATATAAAATGGTAAATTTTTATTACAAATTCTATTATTGCAAGTTCAATTTATGTACTCACACGATGACCTTTGACTAAAATTACGGGCAAGCTTTTAATCTTGAAACTTGAATGTATGTTTAATTGCATTCCAAAACAAATTATAGCTAGTACAATTTATGTTACAGTCTTGAACGTAGAAGGACCAACTTTTAATATTACTAAGGTGAATCGATTACATATGGGATCGTATTTTTGTATCGCATCCAATCACGTGCCACCTTCCGTCAGCAAAAGGATTATGCTGACTGTACATTGTAAGTAAGGCTACGATATCATTTATATAGTATACTGTAAATTTTTAATAACAATGCTTTAGAATAACACGCCATACTCATTGCTCTAGATAGACATTGCGACAAAATAGACTGTAGAAACTAAATATATACATAGAAAGAAAGCAAAGGTTCATTTATGCGTGACGAATTATTGTCTTGCTTCTTCCAGTTCCTCCTATGATTTGGGTGCAAAATCAATTAGTGGGTGCTCGGGAAGGAGAACAGTTGACTTTGGAGTGTAACTCGGAAGCTTATCCCAAATCCATCAATTACTGGACAAGAGATAAAAACGAAATAGTTGCACAAGGTACGTTAACAAAATGATTCACTCACTTGATCACTTCTTTCTCCAATTATGAATAGTAAATACAAATGTAAAGCAATGTCAACGTAATCAGAGGTGGGCCAAATCTTGATTTAAACAGCGATTTCAAATACGTTTAAAAGATACAAAAACGGTTGTCGTCAACAATTGTAAGATTTTGTCATTTTCATTTGATAAATAATAAATTTCCGATTTAATTGTTAAAAATATTCGAATTCAAGAAAATGTTAAATGTAGTGCACGTTTACGTAAACTTTTCTTAGATCAAACGTTGACAGTTTACATTTTCCTTTTTTCGTAGATTCTTACAACTTCTTAGGGTATAATTATGTGCTTTCGTTGCGTACAATCTTTCGGCATAACGTATTCTCCAGGAAGAAAAGTAACCAGTTGCAACGAGCCTTTTGAATAATGAAAGGTTGATGCCGAACGCATAAACACGACTACCGACGAAGCGCGAGTATAAACGTTCCGCTCTGCTTTATGCCCGGTCTATAAAAGCTAGCTTTAGTACTTTCCATCGATCCATCACCGTTCCTTTCAGATCCCCGTATTTTCCGTGTTTCGCGATATACTTGCTCGCGGTTCACGTGAAACTCATTTTGACGCATAGGCGCCACCTGATTGGCGCCCCTTATTCAATACTTCTGATTTAATCAGATTCATTAAGTACCCCGTGAACCAAGTACATACACACACGCGCGCGCGCATCGTAGGCTTTAATGAAATAATAACCAACAACTCAAGAGGAATAATCATCTATAGGACCGAAAAATCAAACAATTATTTTCACCTTTCGTCTAAACTAAGTATTTAAGCATGCACTCATATCGTTCAACCCTAAAGTACATGAAAATGGCGAATCTGTAAAATGTTTTCAAGAATGTACCAGATCAATTACGCCATAGTTATCAAAATTGCAAACAAATAAATAGATAATGAGAGTATTTCAGTTTTGCACGCATGAATGTTAAAAACACGTTTAAAATTTTGAATAACGCATCTATTTAACTAAGTTATATTAACTAAAACGCGCAGACTTTTTACTTATGAGAAATATTTGATTACAAATAATGTTTCAATGAGACTATTTTCATATTATTTTCAAAGATCTAAGCAATTACTTCAAAGAAAAAAAAACTGTTCAACTTTTTGTAATTGTCAAGGTGATGTAACCTTTTAACGTTGTTTTTCGTCTAAAATGTTTTTTGAGCTACAGTGGTTACATGGTATGATACACGTGTCGGTGACTTTAATGTTCACTGTTGAGCAGTTACTTCACGTGACCCGTAAGCTTGTTTTCCGAGAACGTTAAAGTTAGTGAGTTTAAAAGTTTAGGTACTCAAGGGTTATGTGTACGTTCATCTGAGTTACTAGCCGCGTGCGCAGTGTCGTGTGTTTACGACACGTCAATTGCTCTTTAGAACGAGAGCAAGCAGAACAGTGGATGCAAATGACTTAACAGATCGATCTATTCGTTAAGATTTTTTTCCAAAGGTATTTTGAAAGTTTAAGCGTGCATATAACGGTTTGCATTCCATTTTTAGATGGCATATTAACCCTTTCGACTTGAAGACCGTTTATAACTACGTCATATTAAATAGTGTAACTTTGAAACCATATAATTTATTGTAATGATGTTTGGTTTATACGAATTTCTAAATATCGACAATTTTTAAACAATTTTTTTCGCGATCGTATGCATTTTCTCGACATTTTCAAAAAGTGACTTCTTTTATCTTAAGAATGGCGTCCATCTTTATTTGCGTTTTATTACTGCGACATTTCCTTCAAAGGATAAGACATATACCCGCACGAAGGTACGAGTGCTAACTTTTTGTTTTATTATTGCAGCATTTTGCTAGGGTTATACTAGCTAGAAAAAGTTGAAACCGCGTAATGCATTCGAAATATCTACCTAGAAAAGTTGGTAATCAAAACTTGAACTAAAATATAATTAAAATTCACTTTGCAGATCGAAACGAAACTTCAGTACTAAATTGTTAGTAGTATTATAGTCTTTTGTATGCCAAACCATTTAACTTGTGTAGTTGTAAAGTTTTACAGTTGCACAAAAATTTGTGTAATTTTCAAACCGTATAAAATATTAATCGAAAGACAGAATGGACTGTCTGACACGTTCCTGGATGGTACATTACGCACATAGCCAAATGCTTTGTTAGATTCTCTTTTCAATCGGATATTCCAACAGAATTATCTTCTGAATAATGCATGTGAATCTGAAGAGAACGTTAAAGGTATACTATGATTTTATCTGGCATTTATGAGGAAGACCGAGGATGCGAGTATGTATATGAACACTGAAATGACAGGGTCTGGCTTTTCCTCCTGTCGTTATTACGTCGTCGCCAGTCTAGTTGGTATTTGCATTTGTATCGAAGGCAATAATAGTATGTACAATATGAATTGTGATCGTACGATCGCGTTACTACATAACTTCCAGTCGAAAAGACAACGGTGTAAAATATTTATTATACACTTTAGAAGATACTTTGAAACGAAAAATGACGTTTTCTAAGAGTAAAAGTTACAATCAATTTTATGTTAAAAGCGACAATTTCAATTCTCTTTATACGTGTATCCGTAAAGAAGTAGTGTCGGATTATAATTAAACTGTAAATGCTTTTGTTGTTTTTCTTTGTTCGACGTGCTTGACGCGTGGCGCGACGAGTCGAGACGAGTCAGTGTATCGTAAACCGTCGATCGGTTGAATAAAGCGTCTCATTTCGAAGACGGCCTCATTATTTTGTTTCCCGTTCCTATTTCTAATTCAACAACCATTTCTTTTCTTTATATTTTAAGGATATCAAGAATAGTCGTACTTCTGTTGCCATCATTCTTACCTATTTTATTCTTCAGTAGAGCTTTTCCGTACAAATTCATTGACCTTCCAATCAAAGTTCATAATAAAAGCTGATAGAAATCCGTGCCAACTTAACGGTGTATGATTCTGTTTGATATTGCCAAATTGAACGTTTGGAAGAACTTTGTTCGTTGGGAAGTTTGTTAACGTTTTTGAGGAGAAGTTTTATGGTTGAAAATCATTCTGGTTTCGTTCTTTATTTTGAAATGTAATCAAACGGAAGTGAGCGAGTATAGATACATTTTACGTTTGATTACACTATTTGCTGAGCTACAGGATTCTGTTAGCGTTTGATTACATTGGTTGCTGAGCTATAAGTCGGTTTTCAACCACTGTCGTTTAATCTATGATTGAGGACCTGTAAGTTTTTGCATTTGTTTCTAATTAATAATTCTGTCGTGTATGAACATTCCGTAGAAAAGAAAGACTGATTCATTTGGAATTACTATAATTCCCAAAGAAGGCATTAAATTTGGCAACAATTTGACTGTCCATTCCTCTCATCATTACATCCGAATTTAGATCATATCCAAAAATCTATTCAAATCTACATCTATTTTTATGCTACGAAAACAAATTATTTTTACATTAAATGTGTAGTCAAAGGGGGGTTTTCACGATAATCGAAAACACAGAATATAATGATTGGACTAGCTTGAAAAACAGAAATACGCCCTGTAACCAAGTCTGTAGGTAGGTACCTAAACAAGATTATGGTCATTATATGTTGGACAATGGAGGGATTGGTTCCTATAAATTACCTTAGCGACAGAAAATCGATCGACGTACACAAGTATTGTTCAAAACTTAATGGAATTAATGAGAAATCAATTGTAGAAGAATCGCCGTTGTTAAGCAGAAGATTCATTCGTTTTCCAATTCCAAAAAACAGTTTTTGAAGACGTTCGAATGGATTTAAAGTTGTCGTAAGAGCATTACTTGTACTATTCAGTTTACAGTCGCACTTTTCATTCATTATTTTGCTTTACATCCACGTAGCCTTTTCGTAACCCATTCGTGGAAGATAGGACCATCGGTGGATGGAATCTAGAATCTTAGGAGCTGGAGAACGGAAACGTTTCTGAATGGTGTCGATCTAAACAGAAATCACGTTAACTTAGACTGCTATGCTGCGAATACTAAAATATCCCGGGCATGGGAACAAGCAAGACTATCTTTCAAACTGATTGAACTATTGTGATGTCCCTTCAAAAGCTGTTGAAATTTCTATACTCGTCTTGTGCGTTATAGGACCGTTCCGTCCGAAAAGACGAGTAAGGCTCCATTTGTTGTAACCGATCGATCAGCATGACTTGTCACCTTTCGATTGTGTCATTGACAATCCTTGGAAACTAACATACTTGCGATCACTACGGGTTGCATCCGTGGAAATTTAAAAGTACTCTGGCACCTAACCGTTGGAAAATTTTACAATAGATACAACTTTTGTTTGTCATTTGCTAGAGTGTACGTATGTATATATTACGGTGAATGTGATAAATGCGGTGATTATGCATAATCCCCACTAAAGTTGATAAATGTGATAAATTATGGAACATTTATCAAATTGACCGGGAATTTTATATACTCCCCAACTCGTAATGAGAAATGTGATAAAATTGTTAATGCATATGCTGTCTACTCGGAAATACTGTCTAAGTAGGTTTGTAGTAGTTTTTGGTAGGGGCACCAATTTTGAATACTGTTAAATACAGGATGTACCAGGACGGGTGGTACAACCCACCAGAGGATAATACTACATGTAAAAGTAAGTCGAAAAAAAGGAATAACATTTTTTCATTTGACGTTTTGTTTTCGAGAAAATCGAATTTGAAAATTCTAACCAGTACGCGTAACCATTGCTCGCTACAAGTTTCCTTTTTAACCGACTTCGAAAAGGAGGAGGTATTTCTTTTTCTTTTTCTTTTCTTTTTAAATGTATGTTACTCGATTACGTCCAGGCGGCTTGACCAATCGGGATGAAACCTGTTGCATCTTGTAGAACATATCTCCGGGGTAGTCCTATTACCAAAGAATTTTGGGATTTCTCATTTTTTACCCGTTTTTTCGCAAAAAAACGAAAAATTTTGTATTGCTT